CAACTGTTTCCCTTCCTTGAACTGACAAAGTACTTATCATAACTATGTTATAGGATAATATCCAGATGTAATACCATTATGTAATGTTAAGACCATGCATTAAATGTACTACAGCTTGCCCACGCCTGTGCAGTTAGCCAGGGTGGTAAATAAAGGACTAAACTAAACTAAAGTCGGTATTATCACAGTACCACACCGTGACCTCATACGGAGAGGTCGTGTGGTGCCCGTGCTCCGGTGCCCTCGTGCCATATATACTAATAAGTGGTGTCATATATGAGGAAATTGTACAAGGTGTTTATGATATCTTTGTGCTCATATAACCCGCACTTCAGTGACATGAGAGTAGCACTGAGATAATAGTTATGTCCTGTAGGGAAATTTGAAATAATTCCTCCACCGAGTGCCAAGTAGTGCCGTGGTAACTCGTTGTCCCGAGCGCTATATATCACCTGTCACGAGGCGGGCGAGCGGGGCGGGCCAGGCGCGGCGGTCACGCGGTCACCCCTACGATGGGGGTAGACCGCAAAGTAAACACTGAGGGGGAGGACCCGGTGGGTAACTGTCCCTCCCCTCCCGCGGCTGAGGAATCTGCTTCAGTCCGTGCTGAAGGTGATCCTGAAGTTGAGCAACAATGAAGGTGCTGAAGGTGATCCTGAAGGTGAGCAACAATGAAGGTGCTGAAGGTGATCCTGACGTGAGCAACAATGACGGAGGAAAAGGCTTCACAATAGTGAAGTCGAAAAACTAGGAAAAAACGGAAGGTTCGGCAGTGCTGGGTAGGACAACATTGGCATCAATAACGGACTATGTTCGCCTCGCCTTCCCTGACGACACTACGAAATCGTGATAAATTAAATGGCTCCAGAATCTCGGCAACGTCTCACGGGCCCGGGGGGGTGCCCCCTCAAACCTTGTGCGAGGAGAACCTCTCTCCTCGCCGTATGTTTCTGTCGCACGCTCTCAACAAAATTATGTTGACGCCTTATTGAAGGATCAATTGGAGGTATTCCCTTCAAACTTGTGATGAGCTCAGGAAACAACAGAAATATGACGAATATCTTGTGACCCGCTACAACAAGGATTTGATCTTGAACATGCGTACGCACTCGACGGATCATAAGGCCTAAGAGTTAGGAAAACAAAGATAGGAAACCACTGTAAACCGTATCCGCATCATATTGGAAAGGAGGAGCAAACCACCTCCAAGTACGCTACACTCCTTGGGGTAGTACATGCCGCCAGCCACGTGAGACGTGGAGGGTCCCCCGTCAGCTGCTACAAACTGCAGGAAAGTGGCCAGTAGCCATATACTGCAAGGACAAGGCGCGTGCGCAAGCATGCGGAAGAACAGCATACTGTCAAGGAGGTCCTCGCAGTGCAGCAGAAGAAGAGAGACACAGAAACACCGGTTTTGTCCCATCATGCTTCAGGTGTGGGATGACAGGTGTGACTGCATGGCATGGGGTTGCACGGCCTCCTTGCCCTGGCCCCTCCCCCCCCACCCCCTGTCGTCCAGCACCGAACGCGAGTAGCCAGCGCGGCACTCCAAACCATCTTTTTTACCGCGGCCAGGTGTGGGAAGCGAGGGTGCCCGTGTGACGTCCACCAGCCGCAGAGGTTTCCCGCGGGCTGCGGCGAGTGGAGATGCAGAGATCCGCCCGAATGCGCGACATGGTTGCGCAACTGAAGGAGAGATGAACAGATGATGGTTGATCCTCACAGAGGGTGGTCGGGCCTCAAAGCTGCCACATTCCCTGAATTAAAAGACCCACGCCCCCCTCCCTCCCGGGAGCCAGCCGAGGCACCGTCCTCACCCTCAGGCAGGGATGACCGCAGGCCAGGCGGGGGAATCCCCCGCACAACCATGTGACAGAAGTGACGCACGTCAGCTGTCCAAGGCGACGTAAATGGTGCTGAAATATTAAAGGAACATGAAAGCTCTGAAAGAAACAAAACAATAACTTAATTAAATGAACTAACGGACGCTGGACAGGACATGGAAAAAAGGAAAAGTGATGTTCACGCAGTGCTACTAGTACTACCAGTGTGCTAAAAAAACGACACAGGAGAATCGATGTCAAACCGACAGTGCTTGATAACCATAGTGGGCGTGCCATGCGCTGAGCCGCACGAAACAATACCAGGATTCGTGGACATCGAGTTCAGGACGGAACCACCCCCCCAGGTGCATTCTGCACAACAACGAAGGGCCGTGCTGAGAAGTGGAACAAAGCTAAGACAAATGTTTGAAATGGTTAAAAAGTATTTAAGTTTAAGCTTACCATCTTTAATGAAAAATCCACAATCATAAAGCTATATGCTTCTTATGTCAATATCAAATCTATAATTCGTTAATATTCAAGGATATTTAGCCATGAGGTTACAGAGTGCCTAATAGAGCACTATTCACAATGATAAAAGCACAATTAAATTTATATCACGGAAATGCGTAGTATAAAGCCTAGCTGAATGACCTAGAGTTTTATATCCCGTAATATAATACTGATATATTTGCGTTGCAAGAAATTTTGCTGCTGCTGCCTAAGATATAAATGATAGCCCCCCCCCCTCCCCCCCCCCCCCATTCAGGGGATATATTCATATGTGAATACAGCCTGACTGCGGATTGTTTGACATATGTGAAGGTAACACTGCCACATAAATTAGTTAAAAAATCCGAGAAACATGATGTTCAATTTCATTCACTTAAAAAATCAGACTGCCTCTGGTATTTTTCACTGTATAATGTATATGCCAGATACTCCAAAATTTCTATGGCTAGTCTCTCCCCAATTTTCGGCAACAAAGCACGTTAAGGTATGGGCGACCTCAATTGAAGCATCCACACTTTGGAGACAACCAACGTAATAGTAAGGGAAGAATTCAAACATTTCATCAGTAGTAGATCACTAACAGATATGAACAGAAACAGAGACTCGTTGGGAGGTGGCAGGTTAGACTATGTGTTTGGCAAGAATTTAGTTCATGGTAATGTCTGTACCTCACTGGTGCGAGAGTTAGTTAGTGGACCACTTTGCAATACGAACAGACTATACTGTAGACAGCGACTCAGCCCCTAAATCACCCAGGCTCAGAATAATCATCCCACTGGGTTCTGGAGCATCACTTCAAGACACGGGCCTATGACTGGTATAACACCTATGAAGTAACAACTGTTGAAAATTTCTCTCAGGATCTAATCAAAGTTGTCACTGACTACTTAACACATGGGTCTGTTCACGAAAACTCTCAAAGAAAAAGAGGGCTCCACTGGGAACAATTCTGCAAAGTTATCAATAGTCAAACTTGTAGCTGACGTATAGAGAAAAAATTAAGAAGGCTGACAGGTAAAGCTCCCACAACACGCAGTATCCACGGTCCACAAAGAACAGGCTAAAACATGCTGTAGAGCAGTGTGCTGAAATTTCTCAGTTACACTCACTTCCACAAGGATAAAAAATCAGCTCAACAAGTAGAAAAGAGATAGAAAATTTAATATAGCAATAGCCTGTTTGCTTTGACCCTAGACTTTGTCGAAATAAACCGAGAGGGAACTAAGCATATCCCTTCTGAAAGGTTAAGCTAACCGCCCAGAGCTGAGGACGGCATTACTACAGCGTCCTCGCCACATTGCTCAGTTTCCAGGAACCCACTTTACAACCTGTATAGACTCAGCCCATCACAAGGAATCCTCCAAAGCTCCTAGGACTAAACGCTTAATCATGCCTATATCCAAACCCAATACTGACAAATACAGACCCATTTCCCTGACCTCCTGTCTGTGCAAAGTACTTGAGAGGAATAAATTCATGAACAGGCTCATGTATTCGCATACAAATGCTTAAGTTATCCCCCAGACGTTTGGATTTCTCCCAGGGCGTAGTAGTCAGCACGCTTGCAGAGAATTTACCAAAAATCCAAACCAGGCTGCAAACCGTATTCTTGATCTTAAATCTGCCTTTGATATTGCAAACAAGGAAATTATCCTAAAGCAAATAGCTAGCTGTGGTATTCAGGGGAAAACTGTTAACATGGATTTTCAAATGTCTTTATCAATCGATCGGCTCAGGTTCTCTCAGGGGCATTAAGAGCACTTATAAAAAGTATTTGAACTTGGCCACACCTCAGGAGGCGTACTTAGTCCCATGCTATTTAATATCTAATGCATAGATTACTGGCGATATTACACTTGGCAGGCAAGACTCCATTTTTGCTATGCGATAACATCTTGTTTTCATTAAATTCCTCATCTGGAGGAGAGAATGCAAGAGATTCTTGATATACTTTCTGCAAGGGATACTGAGTGTGGGCTTAAATAATCTCAACTGAAAAAAAACCAAGGCACTTAATCCAAAGACAATCCCTTCTCCAAGGTTTATATTGGTGACGTTGAGCTAGATCTCTGCCACCATACAGATACTCGGGGGATTGTTAATGATTCAGAATTCATCAGCACCCTGAAGAAAGGCTATGGGGAGCGGCTGAGGCCACTTAAGACACTTGTCGGCAAAGACTATGGTATTAATGTCATGTTACGAGACTCTTTCTAATTGTCATACATAAGGTCGTCATAGATTACAGCATTGCACCAGTATTGTTCAAGGATCAGAGTGACTAGTTAGAAAGTGTACAAAATGGCCATGAGGATCATTATTGGTGCCCCTAGGTACAACAAGGATGTGGAATATGAGAACAGAACTTAAATTGCCGTCTCGTTTTGAAAGAATATATAATGATACCACATTTAGTGTCAAATCGATTAGAGAACCCCTCTACGGTACAGAGTTCCAAAGACAACTAAAAACAGAATAGAAGAGCTAACTTTGAATGACAACACCGATTCATTTTCAAATCCATGGGTACAAGGTAACATGTAAACACTTAATTCAGCTGAACATAACCTATAAATAAGATCTACATGGACGTCTGTACCACCGTGGGAAAATGTCTGACCTAAGTGATATTATACGACTGCCCCCCAAAAAGACAGGTCCCCCATGCTATACTTAAGGCAGTATGAATGCAACACTGGACGGATCCTTGCAACTGGGATCAAGAGGAAGGATGCGCCTTTGTGTATTAAAACAGCATTTGCAGCACAGGATGTAGGAGGGTTCATGACTGGCTAGCACTTTCACAAACGGAGTTGGCAGGAATAATAATGGCCACCGAATTTCTATGATCAAGCTCAGGGGTCATTTTCTCGTGATTCACAGAGGCTCTCCAGGCTCTGAACACTTTAGACAAAGTGCGGAAAATTGCAAATGACATCAGGTTAAACGTGTATCGTTGCAAAAGAAACGAGGCCCATGCATAATACGTTTTGTGTGAATCCCATCGCATGTTGGACCCTAGGCATGATCATGCGATTCGCCTAGCAAAGTCGCATGTGACAAAGTTGTGGATATAGATCTTGGTTACCTCTTTCTATGATTTTATTACATCATTAAAGCTTCCTTCCAAAGAGGACTTAGACTGAATTAATTGATTCTCAACGCCCCGCGAAAGCTTAGCATAAAGCACTATGGACCGGTCTAGGCAAGATTATTGTATCTATGGTTTAGACCGTGTGATGTTGTGACTGCAAGAATCGGCTTGATATAGAAGTATGGTAGGTCAGTACAACTTGTAATGTCGACGAAACTAAGTGTAAACTGTGTAATGACGAATATAAGCGAACACTTGTTACACTATATCTCAGAGTGCAGTGTTACAGCCTTTCAGACCACCTAGCATGATAGGTACGGCTAACTATGAAATCTTTCCTATCTTTGATCGCTTAGGAAGATATAATTATGTGTATCCTAAACTTGGAATGTAGTATCACATAACTGGCATATCACATATATAATGCTTTTCCACGCCCAAGCTATATTGCCGGCGTAGTAGATGAGTACTTAAAGGGCTGTGCAATTGTTCCCTTCCCTGAACTGACAATAGTACTATCATAACAATGTTTATCGGGATAATATCCAAATGTAATACCATGAATGTAATGTTATGGGACCATGAAATTAAATGTACCACGCTTGCCCTGTGCAGTTAGCCCGGGTGGGCAAAACAGGACCTAAAACTAAAAAAAACTCGGTATTATGAAAATGAGAGAAAGAGAGAGAGAGAGAGGGAGAGAGAGATGAGAGAGAGAGGAAAAGAGGCAAGAAGAGAGAGAGAGAGAGAGAAGGAGGGAGAGAGGGAGAGAGAGGAAAGACGAGAGAGAGAGAGAGAAAGAGAAGAGAGGGAGAGAGAGAGAGAGAGAGAGAGAGAGAGAGAGAGAGAGAGAGAGAGGAAGGAGGGAGAGAGGGAGAGAGGGAAGAGAGAGAGAGAGAGAGAGAGAGAGAAGGAGGGAGAGAGGGAAAGAGAGAGAGATAGAAGATGAGAGAGAGGAGGAAGGAAGTGAGGAGGGAGAGAGAGAGCGAGAGAAGAGAGAGAGAGATGAGAGAGAGGGAGGAGGGAGAGGAGAGATAGAGATAGATAGATAGATAGAAAGATAGAGAGACGAGAGAGTGATGCGAGAAAGGAGGGGTGAGAGAGAAGAGAGAGAGACGAGAGATAGAAAGGGAGAAGAGAGGGGAGAGGGAGATAGATATATATGAGAGAGAGGTGGGGGAGTGGGAAGAGATAGAGAGAGAGAGAGAAGAGAGAGACAGAGAGACAGAGAGAGAGAGAGAGAGACAGAGAGAGAGGAGAGAGAGAAAGAGACAGAGAGAGTGAGATAGATAGAAGTAGATAGATAGATA